CCCCAAAACCCCAAAACCCCAAAACCCCAAAACCCCAAAACCCCAAAACCCCAAATGTTTTAGAATATATTGAATAATACACGCAGCAATATGATATCAACAAAGAGGTACTCCTTGAAATAACTGATTAAGCTCTAACCTTGACTATAGAAAAAGTTTGCTATCTTATAGTGTAGTTAAAAACGACAAAAAGCCATTTAATACAAAGAAGAATATGAACTCTTTTGCGCGGACAAAATGTGATGAATCTTTGTGCAATTCAACACAAGCAGAGAACACCTCAATGTTCTTCACATCTAAATAAGCTCAGTACAAATCATCCAAGGTTGTCGCCAAGGACCCTGCTATCGATTAGCTCCAAGAGGCAGCCTAAGAACAGGCTTGATTACATAAGAGGAAGCGTGCAGACGAATAGCTCCAAGGAGCATCTTTCAACAAGTAGGAATTGCTTCATGGCAAAATCAAGGTAAATTTTAATTATTGTTTCACCTCACAGTAATGGTCCTTCTCAACTTTGAAAAATCTGACATCCTTAATAGCATCAAAAGTTACTCCATGCATGGGGAATATTTGGTAAAATCTATGAAGAAAAATCAAAACTCGATGCAGTCATCTTGCTCAAAAGCTGCTTACAAAATCCCTAGTTCCATAATAAAGTCTAGAAATAAGAAACTGTACGATAAGTCCCACACATTTCAAAAGGAGCCCTTCAACCTGGAGGAAGCTACTAGTGAGATGCTAGACGTTCAGAAAGAATCTAAGATCCAGATTCCTGTTAGGTTTAGGTCTCGAGAGTCCCTCATGAAGTTTGGAGATAGAAAACCTTGCAATATGACTCAGAACTCCATAAACAATCCTACAACTAGGCTACAGAAGGAGTTAAAGCCGATTCAGGATTTGAGAAAATCCCGGCAAACTCCTGTGAAGTCCTGTGACAAAAACTCAAATGAGCCGTCAAAGCTAGATGCTACTAGCGTCTTGAAACTCCTCAAGAAGTCTCTTAACAGAAAACTTGAGGAGCCATTTCCTGATGAAGCTCTTGACGAGGGCTCGCAAGAATTCTTGAAGAATGATATCGGGATTCAATATTCTCCCCAAGGAGTAATTAAGGCTCCAGATAGCAGTCCTCTTGAGATCCAGATGAACTCTCTAGATTTCAGTGCGATCACTGAAAGCCAGCATGATTTTCAGAATAAAGGTAATTGCATAGCCCAATTTTCATACTGACATTTTCGAGTGAAGCGGCCAAAATTAATTTAAATCTTCACAAAATGTTTGTCAAGAAAGTGCCATATTTTAGCCAAAAACCGCACAATTTTTAAATGTAGCCTGAACCCTCTGTTAGATTGCCAAAGAGCAGGTATAAACTTTCATAGGTACAGAGTCTATCGATATTGGTATTTCAACGTCAGAAATTTTGAAGCTAAAAGATGCTGCAGTTAATACAAATCCTCCAAAGACTAAGGATACCCAGACATGCCAGCACTGTATGGCTCCCTTTGACAGTGATAAGCTAACTGCACTTGAGAAGAAGGTGCAGGAACTAGAGGTCAACCTTAGTCAGGCCAATGACAGGATTTCGAATCTGACGATTGAACTTCATGAAGAAAAACTAAAGAATATTAAAATCAGCTGCTCTACAGCCAGTGATGAGAGTAAAAAGATAGATTCTGGCAGTTTTGAAAAATTACTAATAAAACCTATTCGAATTCCAGAAACCCCGTTGAAAAAGCACCGCTCTAGTGATTTAAGCATCAGAAACCGCCTGCATAAAATAGCTATGGAGACCATCGAAGATGCTGAGTTCGAAAAATTGGAGGCACTAGCTGTCAGAGAAGCTAAAATGGATATTAAAAGTCCAACATTTTCTCTAAAGGATAAGAAAAAGGCTCTGCACAAGACTTTTATGGAACTTAAATGACAGAGACCTCTTCTATCTCCTACTCTTCGGGAGAAGGCTCTGCCTAAAAGGTCTCTACATAATTGCTAGATAATATTTTCACTAATTGATCGAAATTCAATAAGGAATTCTTCCTAGGGGTTTTGGGGTTTTGGGGTTTTGGGGTTTTGGGG